GGCAGGGTACCGTGGGTGAAATATGGGTCTGTTGTGTCCTTATTTGTGGTTGTGTTGGCCCTCTGGTTCCGGTCACCCCAGAATGCAGTGCTGGACGACCGACTGGACACAGTCCTTTCCTCCCTGCTCCGGGCTGAGCGGAAAGTGGGGATGAATAACGTCGCCAGACCCAGAGTAGCGATTGGTAAGTGTTACGAGCTAGCTAACGGTGGCTAGCCTAACCATAGACTGTATGAGTGCAACCTAATTTCAGGGGTTTGTGGATTAATGATCGATCAGGTAAACTGCGCCAGAATAACAGTAACATTAGTCACTGCCCGCATTCACTAACAGAAAATAAGTTGTTAACGCAGTGGATAATATTTGCCTCATATTTAATGTCAAACTTTAGTAAACTGAGAAAAGTACATTTAGGGGTTTCTTATGGAAATAAATAAGGTTGTGTGTTGAAGCCTGAATAGATGGTGCGGAGGGGGCAATAACCATGAAAGGTGGTCATCAGGTAAGATGATTAGTTCCAGCTTAGAAATAAAGTCTCAATGAGTGTGCTGCGGGTTTGGCGTTTGGCATATAAAGGAAAATATATTTAATTAAAATACAACTTTTCCACTTTCTTTTAAACAGAAGTGTGTGTTTTAGCTGTTTTCCTGTTTGGTGATTATCTTCCAGTAAGAATGCATCCAATGATTTCAACAATGATTTGAGCCAATTATGGCATTCACTTCAGTAATGTGTAGGGTGGGGCAGTATCTGCAGTTATCAGTAATATATACACTACTTAACTAGCAAAGGAAGCTTAATATTTTTTGGAGCTTAGGGTTTTTTTTCTGGATGAAAGATGGTTTGGGGGAAATTATGAATATAATGACAACTCTGCATGACATTAAGGAAGAGTGTTTGTGTTATCTTAAATAACAGATGTCTGTCCACTTTCCTGTTATTTTTGCCTTTTTATAATAAAGATATATTTAGAGTATTTATTTATTTATGCTTGAGTAAACAAACCCCACTTAGAAATAAATAGTTAAGATGTTTTGAACAGTCTTGTGAGTTTACCTGCCAGAAGTTTTATAAGCAGAAAAACCCTTGGTTGTACTTTGAACTTCTTATAAACAACTGTGCAGGCTCATGTGATGTAAGCTCTGGTATTCTTATAGTAATCCAGTGTTTTGTCTCTTGAGCAAGTCCTAAAACCTTGTGCTTTGGACCATCGCACAGACACTCAATAAGAATCAACTTGTCTGTCCAGCCTTTACCCAATAGGTTACCAATAAGCTTAGCAACAGTACAACCTGATGTAATTAAATGCGATTATAAGAAATTTCTGCCAAAAGATCAGAATCAGCCTTGTTGTTGCCTTGTTGTTGTTGCTGTTGCTGTTGTTGACTAGTTGCATGTGTTTGTGTGTCACATCAAATTAAAACAAACTATAAGTAAAAGCTTGTTTTCATGGTGCCAAAAGGGTTCATAAATAACCAGAAAAATAAACAACAAAATACTGGCAACATGTGCTGTTGTCTGTTATTTTGAGCACTCGTATCAGAGCAGAGTTAGCCACGAGGGGATGGATTAACATGTATTGCTATTAGTTGCTTAGTTGCAGCATTGAACACTGCAACATAAATAATGGCTTACTGCAACTTAACCTGAGCCCTGACCCAGAAACAGGTTTGACAAATGCTAACTCTAAATTCTGTCTTAATTAACTCTTGAGTTTTCAGCTCCAGAAATAGATGAAACTTCAACTAGTCCACTCAGTCATCAGTTACCCACTCTTGATTTTTCATAGACCAATAAATAGTTAAAAATGTGACCAAATATGACATTTTACATTTCTTAAATATAATTATTCAGCTGTAAACTGATTTTGGATTTCCACAGCACAAGGAAGACAGATTTTTGTTGATTTAGTGGTGCAAATCCTTTTCGGATATTGCAGCTTTTCAAACTGTTGCTCAACATCCAGTCTTTAGCCTGTTTTTAAAAGCTCACCTTAAACTGCATTTAGTCCCATTTAAGAAGTGGCGCAGACAACAACAGTAGCATCATTTATTCCAGCATGAGAAATTATTGATCTTTTTTTTTTTTGGGCTTTTTTTCTTTTTTATGGCCTAAAGTGCAATAAAAGTTAGTTTTATTGTAACAGGGATTACAAAATGTGCAGTGCAAGTTAACTAACAATTGGGCAACTTCTTTATTTTATTCTGAGCTAATCCACAGTGCCCATTGATGTCCACTGTTATCCTTACATTCATGATTGATTTGATAAGAAGATTAACCAGCATTTAACTGTTTGTAAAGATGTAAACAGCTTTGACATTGACTGTAATAATGGGGGAAATGAAATGGTGTCATAGAGATGGTTCAGGTGCAGCATGAGGGAACATTCAGAGAGAAGCTCTGTTCAATAAAATATATAGGGAACAGGTTAGGTTAATTTGGCTCTGTTTCAGGAACAGTAAACTCACTCATCTCCTCTCAGGGTTAACAAACTCAGAGTTTCCACTAAACCTGCTTTCTGTGACAGGGTCCTGAAGGACTATAAAATGCACCATATTCATATTAACCTTATGACAGAAAATCTTAACTGTATCCCAAAAAGTTCCTTTTATATTTTTTATATGAAGCTACAGCAGGAAAAAAAGATAGGGTTGCAAATTCAGACAAAGGAGTATGAGTAAAGTTTACGCCAGCGTCATGCAAAATTTATTCAAATCTTAAACAAGTTGCCTGCCTGCCTGAAGTGTTGGCCCCTGTTCAGACATGACCGGCATCTGTGAAGCTCAGAGCTTCTATATCTGTTGATGGGACATATGATCGATCCAGCAGCTGAAACTCTGACAGTGTGTCACTATTTCAGCTGTGATTGGAGATAAATGCAGCCGTACTGGACACAGCAGCTGCAGGTTGTGTGGATTTCTCACTATTTAGTATGTTTTATTTTCTAAAATGCCCTGGAGCACAAAATTTTATATATGTAGCACATTTTGTTTCAGGCGGAAAAACACACGTACTTCATACGGCATATGCTATCACAGAAATCGTAGCATGGCACCATGTTTATAACGTAAAACTTCATCAATACAAAAAAGCAACAATGATATAGTAAAAAGGAAAATTATTATTGTTATTATAAACAGTGATAGAAAAAACAAAAAAAACACTGGTTATAACCTGTAAAAGGAAGAGAAATGACACTGTCAAGCGTAGTTCAGTAACAATAGAAAAGGCCTAAAATTTAAAA